TCAATCAGTGGGACAGGTAACAGGTGCCAGTGAAGTCCTCCCTGTAACCTTCATGGCATGGGTCAGGCTGACGCTTATACTTACAGAGGCAAGAGAGAATTTGAATAGGTGAGGAGCGGGTGTTCCGGGTATATTTAGAGGTCAAAGGTAAGCATGGAAAACTTCCATTCGACTTGGGCGGGCAGGGCAGTGCAGCAAGGTTGGGGGAAAGGGGGCTTATGCTTGAGAACAGTAGGAAATCAGACCCCGCCTCTCAGTGTCTTTAGAATGGGGTGTCTTGTCTTTTTGACCACAGCAATGTCACTGAAAGATTTTAATCAAAAACTGTGCTTAAGAAGATGATTTATCTGACTGTCACATTTAGAAGGAGGTGGCAGGAACTGGCAAAAGTAAGATCAAGTAAAAGCCTCTGGGCATGTTTTATATGAGTCACAAAGTAGGGTGGTAGCAATGAACTTGAAATAAAATGCAGGAGAGACACTGGCAATTGAGTGTGAAGAGCGTGAGTCAGAGAGCCTAACTGAGTCACCGAATTTCACAAGGGCTTTGGATTCCTAATGAATACGTTGTTTCAAGTTTCAAAGGTAAAGTCATAGGTCCGTGTAGTGAGTGACTAAGTTAGTGCTTTCACGAAAGCACAGACCCACTTTATTTTAATGTTTAAAGTTTGAGTACAAGCACCTTTAAGGTGCACGGACACACATGCCCCACGCTTTTTACCACATGGGCATGTTTGCAAGTCTGTCTAAGGGTGAAGGGTGGACATGTTTGCAGAGCCTGTGCCAGGTGCCAGGCCCTCGGCCATTTGCTGGGGACACAGAGATAAAAGACAGCCTGTGCTTTGGAGGGAGGGGCTTACCAGTGACATCCTTCCTCCAACGCCAGTCCTGTCTTCATTGACCACACCCAGGTTGCTGACCTCCCACCGGCGTCTCCGCATTGGTCTGTGCTCCTACCCTCCAGCCTTGTCCATGCATCTCTCTAAGGGACTTTCTCCAGTGGTTGCGCCCACGTGTCTCCTTTGCAACATCTACAACACTGCACACCACCCCCTTTCCCCGGAAACTGCTCCTCCTTGCGCATGGACCCATCTCAGAGAATGGCAGAAACGTGCGGTCTCTTCTTGGTTAGTCCACTGCTGCCTCACTCCCCGCGTTAATCTAGCCTTGGCTTCTGTTGGTTCTACTTCTTGGATATCCCTCTCATCCAGCCGCCTCCTGCCGTCTCTACGGTCACCTCTTCGGTGCAAGTTACCACCATCTGTCGCCACCAAAACTTCCGAGCCAAAACTTCCCAAGTGGCCTCCTGGCCTCCCAGCCTGCAAAACCCCCTCCACTGCCCACATACCAGCCAGTGTGACCTTTCTAAAATGAATACATGACTGAGTCACTTATCTGCTTAAAGCCCTTTAGTGGTTTCCTGTTGCTGTTAGAATAAAGTGCAAATCCCTTAATATGCATTGCAAAGCCCTTTATGGCCCGAATCCTGCCCATCTTCCCATCCTCAGTTGGCTCCTGTCTGCTCTCTAAGCATCAGCTGTGCAAAATCCTTTCAGTTCCTCTAATGGTCCAGGCTCTGACCCTCTTCCTGGCCCCCCCATATCCTATTCTGCCTGCCAGAAACACTTCTCCCCTCTCCTGCAAATTCCCACGCCGAGAAAGGATTACCCTGAGCTGCAAGGACAGACGTACATTAATAATGATCATTGCTCCACACTGCACATGTACAGCTCTCTACATGTACTAAGTTTTAACTCTATCTCTGTAACTACAGTGCAGTATAAATACAATATCCTGCAAGTAAAATTCTGAAGAATAGGCTGAACTTTGGGCAATGGAACCATCTTGGAATATCATGGCTTTATATAAATCCAATTTTGTGGCAGCAGACATTTAGATCCTGGACTTCCCTCATCAGGGACCAAGGATTGCAGAGTCAATTCCAAAAACTCAAGGGTCAGCAGGTCCTCTAGGCTCATGTCATGCAGTGAGTTGAGTATTTAGTCCAGTGTGCTGGAGAGGGATGTTCTGCTAAAGGTTCATCATGGAGTTTTCTTATGCCAGTTCAATGAAGAGGTGCCACCAACCAAACATGCATGTACACACGTGCGCGCGCATGCACCCACACTCCCACCCACACACATGCCTCTGTGCTCCTTCGAAGTGTAACTAATCTCTGAGGCACAGAGGCAGCTTCCTCTCTTGAAGGAAGGAGGATCAGGGAGCTCTCTGCTTGTCCTTTCCTACCGCAGGACTATTGTGCAAGAATGGGGTGCTGCTGGGCCCTCTGTCAGAGCTAAACAAGAAATGAACCCAACCCACAGGGCAGAACAAGGGAAGCACTTCAGGATTCAAATGAATGGACATGGGTACTGAGACCAGTTCGAGCCCAGAGCTCCTGGGGCAACGGGGTTGGGCCCCGGTGGGATCTGAGCAGTAAGGAACGCATCCTGGAACCCCAAGCAACAGACATCCACAGTGGAACTCAGCTCACAGCCAATGGAATGATCCCTGAGGGCATCAAGCTGAATGAGATAAAGTCAGGCAGAGAAAAAAACGATACTGTGCTATCTCACTGACACTTGATACCCTAAAAAACCAAACTCAGAGAAACAGAGAACAGACTGGTAGTGCAGAGTCAGGGGGTAGGAGGGGGAAGAAATGAATGAAAGGGGGCCCAAAGGTATTCTGGGATGGAGTGTGCAATGTGGTGACTCTCATTAACATTGCTGTCCTGTATATTAGAAGCTGCGAAGAGAGTAGATCTTCCGTGGACATAAAGTTCTCATCACAAGAAAAAACTGTAAGGATGTGAGGTGATTAATGCTAACTGAAATTATGGTGGTGATCATTTTGCAACAGATGCATATATCAAATCATTATGTTATACTCCTTAAACTAATACAATATTATGTGTCCATTACATCACAATAAAACCGAGGAGGAGAAAGGTCCCCGAGGACCTGTGAGTGGACAGGACCCACAGCGGCTCGGCACCAGCTGCTGGAACGTCTCATTCCTGGTTATCAACAGAGGCCCTTGGCGGCCTGAGTCCATGACGCATGGAAGCAGGGGGGCAGCGCATATTCTAGAAGTTACCAAGGGGTGGAAGTCAGCAGCCTCCCGGAGGCCCCTCAGGGCTTCTAGCCTGTAGCACAGCCCTAATTTTACATCTATTTCTAATCATTTGTGGTAATCATGGAAAAAATAATGGGTAACTAGCAGTCTGAGAAACCTCTTACTAGTTTATTCAGGACCACACAAGGTATAAAAGGTAGAGACTGAAACAACAGGAGGGGGGAGGAATCCATAAAGATGAGCGCTGTGTTGTACCGTCCAAAACCCAGAAAGTGAGGCAAGAAGGGAAAGACCCATGAGCTCATCGCCCACGAGGATCAGGGACTGCTCCCTGCAATGTTTTGATGCTCTCTGGCTCTGACTGGAGTGACTGGAAATCATGCCAGATCACAGTAAGTCTGCATAAAGCCTCTGTCAGGAAAGCAGTTTCTGGGCAGAGGAATGTGACACAGAACCAGGGCAATGTGACAGGACGTCATTCTCTTAGTGCCTTCGATAACGTGCTGGAGAGCGGAGCTGGGTTTCCCATCGACTGCACTCTTCCATAAATGGAGTCTAAATGCGGGCTGCACGGCATCCAAAGGCTCCCCAGAGCACTTCCTATTATGTCCATGGAAGGGGAGCGGAGCAAGTCCCATCTGGCTGGGCTGAGAATACTCTCTGCTTAGGAAGCCCTGTTTGTTGCAGCCGGTGCCAAGTGCATGCTTGTACTAGACCAAAGCCCTGACCCCCAGAGGTGCGAATGCACTAACAAATGAGCCAGAGGGGCCGAAGGTGCTGGGTGGGTCTGTCTCTAAAACATCAAAACCACAAGGCAAGATATTAACAAGGGTGTCATTTTCATAAAGTCCCTAGCTAGGTATGAGACAATATTATGACCGATGTTGTTCAGCGTTGCCATAGCAAAATAGAGTGACATTATCTTTTTCCATGTAGTCTATCAATACACAAGCTAAAATCAAGAACAGGCTGACAGGCACCACGAGTGACTTGAGCCTGGTGGCACTGACAGGCTGACACTCTTGGGGAAACCCCAGAGCTTTAAAGTAGGTGCACAGTGAAATGAGCCTTATTAGGAAATAAAGGCGCAGGGGGATGAGGCGACAACTCCAATGTTACCTGCTCAAGGAGGCGGAAACACTGAGCTCCCTCCCTCCCTATGCGGTAACCCCTAGCTGCTCCCTAACACGTTGATAACTATCAAGTTATCTCGGGAAGTGTCTGTAACTAAAGGCTTCGTGGAGGCCAGAGAGCCAGGATTCACACCCATTCAGCAAAAACATGGCAGATCAGAATAAGGAGTCTTTATTATAGACCCAAAGGTAATTAAATCCATACCTCAAGGCACAGTGGTCTAAGGCCACACCTCTGCCATGTGGTCCCGGGGCCAACGGTGTCACTGGCTCTGGAAGTTTGTTAGAAGAGCGAAATCGGGAGTCCACCATAGACCCAGTGAGTCGGCATAGCTGAGAATGGAGCCCCAAAGCCTGCTTTTAAGTTCCTAAGTACCTTAGAGTTTTGAGTAACTAGCATTCAGAAAGGAAGGTGGGAATAAGCAACAAATATCGTACGGACTAAGATTTTTGCCAGGGACATCTGACATATTCTTGCTGTCATTTAGATGTTAAAACGTCAGTTAAAAGGAGGAGGGCGGATTATACGCAAAATTCCATGTGTGAAGACAGTGCCTTCAATGTGCACCTATGTGTGCCGCCCGATTTCTGCTCGACATACTGTCCCGCCGAGGCCTCCAGACAGGACCAAACACCAGCGCGCTGGCCACGCTGCCCATGCACAAGACTGTCACTCAGCACACCCATGGTGACACCGCCTGTGGCCCTTTCTAGGAAGCATTCTAACAGGTGACTGACCAGGTCCACAGAGAAAAAGCAGCCCCGGGGACAAGAGGCAGACATGTCATACCATGGTTCAGATGTCTGACGCAGTCGTTCAGGAGAGCGCTGAACTTCTTCTGGTCGGTGGCCTCGTGGAAGCAGAAGTAGCCATGTCTGAGGAAGGGCAGCCACAGGTACACTGGGAATTCCTTCGGCAGGACCACGAAGGGCTGGACGTTCTCCTTCTCATTGGATGCTACAGAAATGTTGAAAACACAAAGATGTTTCAAAATATGCGTCTTTTATTAAAATACTTATTTCAGGCTGTGAGGGTAGCTCTGTAGAGCAGGCCACGGGATGGAGAGGTGCTGTGAGATGTCTTTGGGAGGTTGGGGGAAATGAGAGTCCACACTCCTCCCCATCCTTCCACCGGCTTCTTCTGTCTCACTCCAGCTGGTGGCCGCCTCACCTATTGCTACCCCACGGGAACAACCAAGGCCATCAGACACGATCTTTCCAAACTTCCTCAAATTGATGGAACGTGCAAACAGAGCTCCCTCTCTCCTACTGGCCCCCCGCCCTCCGTGCTAACCTGCCCACCTGTGCAGACACCCGCCTTACTCTCCCCCAGGCTCTCACGCCACCAGCTCTGCCTCTGCCCTGCACGCTCCCCTTCCTCCCTGTCACTCGCTGTCTTCACACTGTCAACCTCTCTTCTCACCTCCGTCTTGTTCCTGCCCTACCAGTCCAGAAACCAAATTGCTGAGGTCACGAATGTCACCCTGGCTGCCAGTGTGTGGCTTCCTCTTCATTATCTATGCTTTTAACCTGATCTGAAACATCTGTTGTTACCGGCTACCCCTTCTTTTGAAAACATTCTCTTCCCATGACTTCCTGATGTCCTTCATGCTTTTAAAAAATTGTTTCTTCTTTGTCCCCTTCATGGGTTCCTCTGCCCCTTCTCTGCATCCCCCCGTTAAGCGTCAGCGCTCGCCCCCTGTTCCGCCCTGGTGTCTGCTCCCCGTCAGCCTCCGCTCTCCCCAGGTGCAACCACCCACCCCATGACTCTGCAAATCGCTTCTGCTGTTCCTGCTACCTCTCCTCCTCCCCCATCATGATTTTGCACAGAAAAGTCTCATTCATCCTGCAGAAGTCCATGCAAAAGCCACCTGCGCTGAGGTGCCTATGTTGGCACCTCCCTCTGTCACCAGAGACCGAGTTGGGTGCTCCCGACCTTGTTCTCCCAAAATGTTGTAATGATCTGCTTCCATGTCTGGCACCCCCACTCAGGGCGAGGGGCCCAGACTGAAATGAGCTCCTTCATTGACCCTCCCCAGGAAGCTGCACCGCTGCCCTGGGACCCCCAGAAGATGGGGACTCTATCTGACATACCTTTGTACCATCCACACATGGCACAGCCATGGAACCTAGTAGATGTTGAGCTACCGAATGAATAAATATGCTACATTGCCCTAGGAAATCTTAAAAGCCTTACACAAAGGGAACTTTTACCTCTTTCTTCAAAATCAATTCCAAGAGACTCATGTTAAGCCATACTACTACTCAGATGCCCGCCTTAATTCATTCCCTTTCATGCATTACAATCACGTGATATTGCACTTGGTTAAAGGAAACCCATCTTATTCCTTGAGTCATGGAGAAAAAGTAGACAAAAAACTATCCCTGAGCACCCTGCCTACATCATAAGCCCTGATCTCAGGGAAAGGAAGAGAGGAAGGGCTCTCCAAGAGGCCAGTGAAAGCCCTAGGCATACCAAGAAATGGACCGTAACACAAGGGCGGCTCCACAACCAAGCTTTGCTACTGGCAAGTTAATAATAAATCAAGATGGGCTTAGAGAAAGAATAGGTTTCCCAGGGCACATGTGAGAGCTGTTCCAGTGTCCTGAAACCTGAAGGTAACAGAGTGGAATGCACTAGGACCACCAGCAAAACACATGGTTCATAATAACCTAAGAATGGATCAGCCTGTAAATGAACAAATGAATGAATGATTGAACGCTGTAGTAGAGACCTCTCGTTGTAACACGTATCTATTCTCCCTTCTTTCTCAGGAATAAAATCCTTGATTTCCCAGTGAGCAAATGCTGCACAAAATAAAGACTATGTTTCCAGCCTCCGCTTCAGGTTGGGGTGCCACAGACACGAAGTTCTGGTTAATGGGTAAACAGAAGGGACAGTGAAACTTCCTGGAAGTACCCATAAAAAGAGGGAATGTGCCTTTCTCCTCCCCTTTCCTCCTTCCTGCTGCCTGGGAGGAGAAAGCCACGCTGGCTCTCCAGCAGCCACCGTGGGCCATGTCAAAAAGGGCTGAGAGATAAAGGGGGAGAAAGCTAAAATGAGTCCCCGACATTCATGGAGATGTCCCACCACCCCTGGGAAGCTAAAGCCAAATATTTTTAGCAAGATAATAGAACTTATGTATTTAAGTTGAGTTTTTTGTTGTGTGTGACAAACTAGATTCTAACTAATAAAATGCCAAGTAAATGAGTCACTTCAGCAAGATATGAGGGCACCTAGAATACATCATCTTAGCAGAATGTAATATTTGTTGATAAACCTCTAGTACTTTTCCTCAAGTGAGGTTCATTCCTTCCATCCTTTTTGTGCTTTTATCCTTTTCAGTAGCATTGGTATCACACAGGGAGCCTTTCTGTTAACATGATTTTGTGAAACAATTCTTGCCTTTCCAAGATGTCACAGTTTTATACAAACAACTCAAAGCAGCACTGACCCTTTGTATTTAAAAGCTTCTGGAAGGCCCATAAAATGCACTCCTATTTAACCTTTTACAACAATTTTCCAGATGCCATTAGTCTGCATTTTTCCTGAGTTGTGTTACCAAGATATCACAAATGATCCACTGTAGAATGTCTTATTTTTAAAACTCAGAAGGCCACACTATACAATTAAAAAAAAAAAAAAAAAGTCATTGAAATGCCCCAATCTGAAGCCCTGAGCCAAATGGCATTAGTCACATGGGACTTGGGTTTTTTGTTCCTCTTCATTCCTTTGGACATGATTTCATCAATTAATCAATAAACATATTGTCTGGTCTGACTGATTTCATTGGAAAGTCCTTTTGGAGAGATTTCCAAGGATCAGTGTGTTAGTATTCCCACTTCCAGCAGTAGCTCCAGAGCCAAGATGACATGTAAGTAGATGTCAAAAGAAAATATAATAATATGTACAGTGCACATAAGGTGTTGTTTTAGCTTGAATTATTGCATATTTAATAATAGTTTGTTAATCTAGGTTTATGGTCCATGTACTAACCTAATACTAGTGCCATTAAAAACACTATGCTAAGAATTCTGCACCAAAGTAAGAGTTGAGAACAATGACTATATTTTCTCCATAAACTCTAATGAAATGGTCATACCCATTAATAAGAACCAGCGCTCTCTTCAAGATACCAAGTAATTACCATGTGATATGATTTACACAACGCCAGCTGGAATTACTACACTATTCACAGTTCATGAATCGCTATGAAATGCACTACTTGGTCTATGTACACATATTATCCATCACTTTCTCAACGTGAAAAAAGTCAAACGTACAAGAATCCAAGTATATCAGACATGAAAAGATCCTTCTACATTTTCAAACTTCAAGGCCCTGGAGTTGGAGAAACCGTAATCAGAGGGGTTTAGTAACACTACAGAACACATTTGCTAAGTGGCACCATTAGAACCAGATAAAAATTCAGCCTTGAATTCGTAGTTCAATGCTCTTTCCATGGCAGCGTTCAGCTATTATTTATAAATACGCTAATTAATTCAATGCTTTCTTACACCATAGCTATGAGTTACTGTAATGCTTGTTAAAAAACATTTTGTCCAATTAGGATATTCTCTTGCACATCTTCCTAAAATTAGAAAAATAATATTCCCTTGACATGCTCACTGAAAGATGAGATTGTACATTTTACAGACTGAGCCCTACTTACTCACTTCTGCTGTCTTGTGTAGTGCTACTAAAGTCTCCAACATACTCCAAAAGCCCTATGATGTCCAACCAGTGGCATATTCTCTATGTACTAGAAACACCACAACCGACTTGTGTGCTACCGAACACGACTCAAAATAATAGAAGTGGTACAATGTTTACCTAAATTAAGAAAGTTACATCACCCATTTGTCTGCAAAGTCTGCATGTCTAACCCAGAGTTTCTCAACTTCAGCAACTATTAATATTTTACATCAGATAAGTCTTCATTTTCAGGAGCTGCTCTGTACATTGTGCGATGTTCAACAGCATCATGGTCCCCTGCCCACTAAATGCCTCTGGCACCACCCTCCCAAGCTGTGACAAGCAAATATGTCTCCAGACCCTGCCAAATATCCCTGGAGAGTGAAATCTTGCTCCCCCTCCCCCGCTGAGAACCACTAGCTAAACAAAGCGAGTCTAGGAATTTTGCCTTGGGAAAGAATGCTCAGCAACTCACCAAGAGGGTCTGGGAAATGCCGATCAGATAATAAATTGTATTCCTCTTCTGAGGTTAACACTTTGCCACCTGCTGGAAGAATTCGGCTTTTAGGAGCAGCTCCTCTCTGATAGGCCTGGGAAAAGAAAGGCACATATGAGTGATTATTTTTGCACATTTGGAATTTTGAAAAATATCGAGAATATTAGAAACAGACCCAGACAGAGACCCTCAGAGATAAGCAATTCACACACTACGTTACTAAGAGCCATTTACTGACAAAATATATGTTGCCTAACTGCTACTTGCAAGATATTACTTTAGTGCTTTTGTGTGATGGTCACAGGATGGTAGGTCAGAGTCACTCCTCTCGGCGAGATTCACTGTAGGTATGTTTCTCAAATGAGGAAAACATAACCTTAGTAACTTCTAGAAATCCTGCACCACACCAGTTCAGGTGCTTGCACCTGAGTCATTCTAATAACCACAAGGGTATTGTGCATACAGACATTTCCTACACCAAATGCTGGCAGACGGATGACTAGCGAGACTGTGGGGCAGGTAACTACAACCATGGTTGCCATGGATTTTCACCAAAAGAAACCAACAATCAACATTGCCGTGATAAAGATGTCACCACTTTGCTCTCAATGTGAGGCTGTTCTGTAGTAACGTGATCTGGGATGGAAGGACATGATCATGATAGCAGAACAAATAGCCAGCAGACAGGAAGCTCTGTGGTTCCGGAAACATGAAAGAGGTGTAGAGCATTACTGGGACACTAAAGCAGATAGGCCCACAAAGACACAAGTAAGATAAAATTTACGTTTGTATGTCTGATTCTCATGTCAGGGCTTCTGTCAGGCAAAATTTTGAGGATGACAAGCTAAGAGCAAGTTGAGAATTGAAACCAAGGAACTGTGTGACCCACAATGTACAGTGTACTCCTGGGAAAAGTGGAAATCATGTTGACCAGGGCAATCTAATCAGAATAAGTATAACACATTCTCCATCAATAAGGTAGTGACTGAAGAGACACAAACAAAACAAACTCTCATATATCTAAGAGGTTGCTTTCATACTTACGAAAACCATACTCAACTGCTTAAGCACATCAGGGACCCAGAACATAAGAGAGAAGAGTCAAAAGTTGTATGACTGACTGACCTCAAATCTGAATTGGGTTATTTGTTATAACAGGCCCCAATCTGGGCTTTAATAAGCATTGTATTATTTAATCTTAAAAATGACAGTATGAAGCAGTTATTCTCTCCATTTTATAAGTGAGAAGTTAAATAACCTGCCAATGGCCCTTGTTGACTAGGTAACAAATCCTGGATTCATACCTGGGCCTGTCCAGCCCAGTGCATGTGTACAGAGAGTGCAAATTAAATGATTATCAAATGAGACTGCTTATTTTTCCTGCTTCATTGCCAGCCAAAACCGAACCCTCAGTAAAATAACTGGGAATTTGTAGGTACTTAGTATAAACTCTTAGGTATAATTTTTAAAAACACACTCTTTTATAAGTGAAAAAACAAGACATTAATAAAGCTTAGAGGAATTATGGCAAACTGCATGGTATATTTTTAATTTCTATGGTTTCTTTAATACTTGTTTATTACCAGATTCAGTAACCGTATCTTAAAAATTCAAACAGGATCATTTGAATATTATGAACAGAAAAAATTTTTATACTTGGTTATCATCCAATTCAGTAATCATATCTTAAAAATCCAAGCAGGTTATTTTGAAAATAATGAGCACATACATTGAAAGTTGAGGGAGAAAACTTTAAAAATGAAAAGAGGAAAGAGACTAATTTTGATTCAAAATGAAACTTCAGTTAGTGCCAAATATGGTGAAAACCATAAAAAATCCCAGAAGAAACTCTCTGAGCATTTCCTCCCAATGACTGAGTAGTAACAGAACCGACAGCCGCCGCACATTGGGCTCTGCCTGTGCCCAGCCACGTGCCTAGTGCTGCTATGTAATCCTTCGTTTAACCTTCACGGCAACACCGTGAGCAAGAGAGCATGCTCACCATTTTACAGATGAGAAAGGTGAGGCTCAAGGACATTTATGACATATGAAAGGACACACCTAGTACCTGATACAAGTCTGCAATATGAACCATTACGCAATAACCATTATTGCATTAAGCTCCCCTGAGAGGTCATTGTAACGAGTCATACAAAATAAACATGACTTGCTTTTATTATCATTATTATTTGTAGAATACTGAGAATTTGCTTCAGAGAGCAAATCAAGTGTTGGACAAAATCCTCCTATACATAAACAGAGAAGATATTAGCTTAATCAGTGTTGAAAAGAACAAGACTACTCAAGGCAGCATTGCCTGGCTGCCTGTGGGATACGTGTGTGTTGTGTTGTATTCCTATTTCCCCCCCAGAAATGGGAAGGAAACACATTGGTCAGGCAGCCTGAAACCCGCTCCTGAAGGTTTAGCATCAGGGGTATTGCTCGGAATATCGGCGGTGGTTGCGGCTGCTCTTGAACTTAGAGCCAAGAGAACAGAGTTTTCAACCCGTTGCTACATTTCACTGATAAATAATAGCTATTCCTTTCAAAGGCGGCTTGAGAATCTATGTAGATTGAATGTATGGACAGTATGAGATGGGAGCAGAATTGTTGGCACCATTTGGCCTCACTGTCCGGTTTCATTAAAGCCCAAACTGAACTTTAGTTTCCCCAATTCGTGGCCCAGTGATCTTTCCTTTACACCACCATGCTCTCCACGAGGGAAATAAATGGGAACCAATAAAAACTGACGTCCTCCCAGGTGCTGGTCACTTTACACACGTTATCTCACTTTCTCCACATTTCGCAGACAAGAAATACAATGAGATAACCAGGGGTACGTCAAAGGGGAAAAAATCCGTAAGTAAAAGTGAAATAAGTAGAGAAAGTGTCCTGAGTTCCTAGGAGCTCAAGCAAATTCAGCCACAATCTTATTAAATAACTCCTCAGCCACCTGTCCTATGGGAGGCTTAAGAGTGGGAAGACATGGAGACACAGAGCAAAGGCACAGATGCCAGGACAGCGACCTTGACGCTGAACGATTGTAGGGAAGGCTCCCGCACTGGCCCCTCGGCAGAACCTGTTTCCACACTCACTCACTTGTTCAATTACTTGTTCAAAGTCTCTCTTGGCCACTAGACTGTGAACATCTGTCTGATCTATTGCCATATCCTCCAGAACCTCCCGTGACATGTGACATATAACAGGCACTTGGTAAACATCTGTTAACTGAAATGAGCGCATGTTCGAGAGCGCGTGCTTGCTAAACCAATCTATCCCGAAGAAGAGGGCATGACGGTCAACCCCCCCCATCTGTAGGAAAATTGCAAGAACCTTTGGTCACAAGGAAACACCTTACCTCTTTGTTCTCATAGCTCTCCACGGCAAAATCATTTTTAACCACAACATATCTCTCCTTCCATTTCTTTACATCTTCAGCAAACTGTGATAGTTCTGCTTCATACAAAACAGTGCCAGGATCCAATGGTGGCTTAAGGAAGATGAACACAATTAATCACGACAACACAACATAACATAGCACGCTACCATTAAGTCTGCCTGCGCATATCAAGGACTATTTTAGGAAACTATCTTGTGCTGAGGTTCTGGAGAAAGGGCTGCTTTTTTTCCTCCCTCCACACTTCCCTTTCCTATGCCTTCTGTCCAAAAGCACATATTTGTCTGGGTGATATTTTTGTGGTTTTCACTTCTCTCCATTATGCTACAGAAACAGAAGCAAATGGTGGAAGGGATTATAGCAATACGGTTATGCCTAATATACATGTGGCACTTACTAAGTCCTTGATAAACTCTGTGGAAGAGACAGAGGGAAGCAGGTAGGTGGAGGTTATAGAATTCTATCCCAACACCAGAAATATACCTCAGGATTAAGTCCTGAGAAACAGGGGAATTAACAGGCCGTCTCCCTATTCATCACACCTCTGGGCAGCCGCAAGAGTCAGCTCTCAGCAGTTTTCCCGGGCCTCAAGCTGGAGGATCTCAAGCTGCACAAACTGAACCCATACCTGTTCTTAAGGAGAACATCTTGGCTCTCTGATTAAAGAACAAGCAGCAAAACAGCGCAGTTCTGCCTCTTGTACTTAAAAGTTTGAGGATTTCTCATTAACTCCTGTGGCCCAGGTGCTATAGGGGAGCCTCTGGGAGCTTCCCAGTTAGGTCTCCTCCCTGGCTAACTGTGTACGGAATCATTCCCATCCTGCCTCATGGTGCAATTCTTATTTTATCTCAAAATATACGAATGGACCTTCTGTCTTTCATGTGAATTGACATCTATTTTTCCTTTATTTAAAAGAATCATAATGCCTTTAGAAATTCAACCCTCCACTTCAAGACCATACTTGAGAGGACAGATATGCTAATCTTTTTAAGAATGGTCTGAGGGATGAAATAAATTCCCTTCCAAAGTCCAGGGCTTAATATTCTCTCCTCACAAATAATAAGGCAGTCTCTTATTTTGCTTCATTAACAGGCAAGAGAGAACCTCACTCTTCTCTCTGTGTGAGACTAAAACCATATATAAACTTACCTCCTTACAGTCCTTATGTGTAGCATTTCTTAAGCCTGGGCCATTAATCAATTGATACGCTTGTTTAAAATGTGGCTTCACCCTAGACTTAATGTTAACAGAACTTCTGGGAGTATGGGTCAAAATTTGCATTTTAACAGCGTCCCTAAATTTTGAGAATCACTGTTTTATGGAGATAACGGTCAGTTATCCCTACGCACCCATGCTACTAAATCTCCTGGTCACCTGACTCAACCTCTCAGCAGTATTTGACCCATTTCATACCCCCAATTTCTTGAAACCCCTTTTGTTTTGCCTTCTGGAACATTTCACTTCCTGGCTTTTCTCCTACTCCACAAGCTATTTCTTTTCTGTCCATGTGGCAGAATCCTTCTTTTTCTGATCTCCAACAATTGACGGGACCAGGGGTTGGTCGTGAAACCTTTCTTTTCTCTGTAGTCTCTCAACTATGTCTCCAGCTTTGCTACCACTTATAAGCTAAGAAATCCCAAATTTCTACTCCCTAGCTTCACCCTCTCTACGGAGCTCTAGATCAGAGTAATCAACTACCTCCTCTATATTCCCATGAGTATATATCAAATAAGTGTCTTAAACTTAAGATGCCATAGGTGAACTTGTATTTCCCATCCACTTCCGAGTCTTCCATCTGAAAGGCAACGCCATCCACTTATTTGCAAGAAGTCATCACAGACTTCTCTCTTCTTCTGTTCCCTCTTACCCAGTCCATGAGCAAGTCCCATCAGCTCCATCTCTCATACCTTGACCTGGACCTTCCTCACACCTGCTCCCATCACCACCTGAGTGCCATTTGCCGTCATCCTTCTCCTGAACTGCTGCGGTGTCCTCCTCACTGGCCCCCATTTCTCCCCTTGTCCTTTCCCATAGTCTTTTTGCTGTAGAGAGCCAGAGAGATCACTTAAAATTGTAAGTCGCTCTGTATTCAATACCTTTCAATAACTTCCCCTCACACTTAAACACCCAATTGTAGTTTATGGATCCCATGTGGTCTAGTTCCTACCTGTCACTCTGCAGTCATTTCTTGTCCCTTCTCATACTGCTCTCTGCACGCCAGCCTTCCTGATGTGCTTGTGGCTGCCACAGGGTCTGTGGACTGGCCATGTCATGTGCCTGGCACACTCCTCTTAAGACGTGCACACAGCCTACGCTCACCTTCACTCCCGTTTCTGCTCAAGTGTCATCTCCACAGAGGGCTTCTCTGACCGCCTTCTCTAAAATAAGACTCCTGCTTTATTTCTCTTTGTAGCATTTGTCCATACCTGACATCGCCTGATATTCGTTCGTTTGTGTGTTGTCTGTCTCCTACATTTGAATATCAATAGTAAGGCAGAGAATTTGCTTTGTTGCCCAGTTGTTGGAATAGGGCCCGGCACATAGTAGGGTCAATAATTATTTGTGGAGATCATGGATAATTATGATAATGGAGCAAAAGAGAAAGAATAAATGACTTTTTAAAAGTGAACTTTACTACAGCAAGTCAAGTTTCCTGGTATCGAACATTAATGCAGGGAAAAGATAATAAAATTAGAGCATGATAGTTACTTTTTTTAAACTATGGACTATATCATCAACACATATTCACATGTTCTAACTTCCAGGTAAACAGAGTGTTTTGAGCATGAAATATTTTGAGAGCACATTTTTTACAAGCTGCCAAATGATGGTTTCTTTCAGATCTATTATGAGTTATAAAGCATTACTTAGTGGGAGAAATACACAAGCCAAATGGCCATGGGTTACCTTGGTCTTCAAAAGCTGTGATGTCACATCTCTTTGCTGTTCCACTTCACTGCGCACGTGATCACAGAAAGCCACGGAGTACTGGCGAACGTAGAAGGGACTGAAGTTTTTGATAGCAGCCTCAGTTTTCCCTGAAAAGACATGGAAGTCAGAATTTAGAAAAGTAGCTTCTCTCACAGATTAGACACACGCCTACATCATCCTGTAATCACTCCCCCGTCTCCCTCACGCCACTGTGTCCCAGAAACGTGTTCCTCCACGTGCCCTGGGAACTGTACACATGTTACACATGTCTTTATCTCTCCCCCTTCTGAGACCATCCTGAGAGACGTTGGTGTCCATCAGGACCATCCATCCAGTAACCAATAGAATTTTTCTTCATCTTATAGCAACAACCCATGGCCATGGCCATAAACGCGACACCCTTCTAATCCCCGACAACGCCCATTCTCCTTCACCCTGTTCTCGCTTCAGCTGGCCCTTCATTCACCTCCATCATTCAACCCTACACAGCAGCAATCTCAGGGTCCCCCATTTCAGCTCTGCATCCTCCTCACTCCATCTGTCTTCAGAGCCCTGAGCCTCCGCCCTCTTGTCCTGCTGATCCACAGCCCTGGATAAAACATCAACAAACTACTTCTGGTTCTGACCCTATGTTCCTGGTTTAATGTTCTGTGTGTGGTTCAAAGCATCATCTAACGACTGGGAGGCAGAGAGAAAAGCTTTATGGGTCCAGAGACCTGAGTTCTGGTCCCAAATCTACTGAGAGAGAAACCAACCACAGGACCTCACTCAAGTCACTCACTTTCTCTGGGTTCTCGTGTCCCTAACTCTAAAGGAAAGTGCCAACTAGTCCACCCTTTCCTTACAATTGACATGCCACTGAAGTATAACCCCGGATGTACAGCTGCCTCATAATAGTGGCTCATGACTACAGTATGGTCTCTCAGCGCCAGAAGAAAATAAAGCTGAGAAACAGCCATGTGGGGGCAGTTTGAGGAGTTGAGGAGAAGGAGAGCCAAGCACTGGGAATATTCCTGAGCTTTTCCAACCTGTGCTTAGCTTTAGAGAGTAGGGTAGATTCAAAGGAAGGAGAGGAGAGGAGAAATAAGAGAGAAAGGGCAAAGGAGTATTCTAAAGCAGAGTAGAAATCTTCCCGACCTTTCGAGGACTTGCTGCAGAGTCTAAAAATGAACACAGGTCCCTTTGACTGCTTAAAAGCTCTTAGTCCTTGGAATAATATATTAACTTGAGAAAAAATAAACCTGACACAACAGTCCAAAATATTTTTAAATACTTTCACGTGAGCTTGGCATAATGTTTGTTTTCAAATTCGATATTACAGTCAACAGAGAAATGTTAAAATATACCATACTGGCAAGATTTGTTGAGAGCTATTGCACATATAAAATTTAAAAAATAAGTAGTGTGCTAAACACATAGATTGAAATACTCAATACAAAACCTTGAACCCATAGCTGGCAGCTTCTAACCTGTAGTATCACAGACCAAAACACTCATACTCTATGACTTTATATGGAGAAGTCTACTTTAGCTCAGGCATTTAAATCTCATGATATGTATGAGGCAAAGGGGACTTTTTGCTTATGCCCTCAATAAAAAGACATTTCCTGACCATATTTATGGGTTTTAATAATTATTAATTATAAGGTACTTTGAGACCCACTAATAACAGGTTCTGTGGAAATGCAAATGAAAACTCCTATAATTTGAACCAGGCATGCTTTTGCTTGTTCTGTGAGTTTATGGCATTACTATTAATCAATATTTGCATAACACTTTAATACACTCAAGCTTCACAATTGTCTAATTGGTTATTATTTTCATTAGCTTTTATATAGTGCATAAGAAGTAAAATTCAATTCCCTTGTCTATAATTTGCTTACATAGGAGTGCGACATCTTTGAGAATTCCCACAACGAGAATGAGTCTCACCTCACCGAAACATGAACAGTTAACAAAATTTGCACTTTGGATCCAAATAACCACTATTTTGTCCAACAGAAGAACAGCCTGTTAATTCCTGATGCTAATTGTTGCACTCTTGTGAGAACTTGGATTTAAATGAAAGGAGATGGCTGTTGTTTTACAATAAGCTCTGCAAAGCCTTGAAAGCTGATTTCCTGCTCCATCACCAAGCCTTCCTCAAGGAAAGCTGGCTCCTACTGAAGTGCACTGAGGTCGCCACTGCCTCCAATGTATGAGAAAAATGCTTCTGTGCTTTGAAAATTGCATATGGCACCATCAATGCATCATCCACCAGGCAACACTTATAAAAAAGAGGTACAGCTTCCTCAGGTACTGAACCTAATGACTGGTTCAAAATGGGGCTAAAGCAGCTAAGAACATCACAAGTTCTGGGGGAAATAGAACCTAAAGCAATTTCCAAAATGGATCTAGATCTCAGTTTAAGCCCATCTAAGCCCAACTAAAGGAAAGCTCAATGTGGGGATCTTGACCCTTTGAGAAAAGCCTAGTGCTGGAGCAAAATGTCCCTGTGGTTAGGACAATGGACTCTGGAGTCAGACAGACGTGGGTTTGAGTCTCATCTTTGCGACTTACCAGCAGGGGCATCTTGTGTGGCTTCCTCTTGTATAAAATGAAGACAAGAGCAGCCATCCCACAGTGTTATGGAAATGACATGAAATACTGCGGTAAAGGGCTCAGCAGTATTGTTGGCACACGGAGAGTGTTCAACAATCCACAGTAACTAAATTCACGGCAATGGTGATGATGGAGCAGCAGAGCCAACTACCAACAGGATGTCCTTCAGCTGAACTAAGAAATCAAGGAGAAGCCAAAAGCAGGCTGTCTACTGTGACTCTGTCTCTGGGGCCACCCTGCCCAGCCGCAGAGAGAACAGGGGTCCCACTCACCACAGGCCAAAAACAAACATAACCTGCATTTTCACAGATGTTTCAGGAACACTTATCAGAGGCCCTCAGTACATCCTTGAATTGAAACCAATGAAATAAAACATTGGCAATAATGAGCCAAAGCGAAAGCAAGAGTTAGAAACTGTTACAGTGAGCTTCTCTCTCCACCCCTCAGTTTTCTTGCCTATAATATCGGGGTAGTAAGAAGCCCATTTTCACAGGATTTTGTCTGGATGAAATGAGATGGTCTTCAGGTACAAGAGTGGCTAGACTAGTGCCTGACACTTTAGTTGCTCAATAACTGTTGACTATTATTACTATTATTTAATATTCTGCTGTGAAAGTGTTCAAATAAAGTCAACTGGCACACAGGCTGAACCAGCTTGTTTTCAATTTTCAAGATTCTTGGGTATTGGATTGCCTTCATTCCCCACCCTTCTTCCCAATTTAGTACCATATTTCCTTCCTTAAACTGTTTGTAAAATACTGTCCTAGGTCTTTCACTAAAAGGACGTTACTCAATAATATAGAGACTAGAACCAATGGAAGGACTTTGTCTACATTTTGTTATACCAGCATTTTTGGTACACATTTCGTCTAATCCTGCTCAATTATTACTCCTGTGCTGGGCATTATGTCGGTACAACTAACTTCACCAGGCTGCTCATAACACCCTTCAGGAAAACGGCCCCTAAAGCTTAAGAAAGCCCCTTTGACAGCTCTCTCTGCGACACTTAGCTTCAGTTCAACTTTGCAGAAGTTAAGAGAAGTGTCTTCTGGTCCTTTCAAAACCATTTGAATTCACAGAGATTCAGAAACTCAGCACTGTGATTTGATTCCTTCTTCCTGACACACTTATTTAACTGTCAGATCTTGTTACTTCTATTTGCATATTTCTTGAATTCATCCTCTTTTCCCCATCTTCGTACCCAGGGGTGTCCAAACTTTTGGCATCTCTGGGCCACACTGGACGAAGAAGAGTTGTCTTGGGCCCCACTTTAAATACATTGCAACACGTAATCACAAAAATATTTTAAAAGTCTCATACTGCTTTAAGTAAATTTACAATTTTGTGTTGGGCCACATTCACCGCTATCCTTGGCTGCATGCAGCCTGTGGGCTGCAGGTTGGACACCCCTGCAAGTTTTTAAACTAGTCTTTATCATCTTTTTAACAACTCTGTAAAAGTCTGTTTATCTGTCCTATGTCACTCTCACAGCAGCATCAAATGCCTTAGTAGCGTCCAGCACTAACAGAGCAACATAAAAGTCAAAACCCGCGTGGGGGAAGGAGTGACGCTGCTGTTACACAGACCCTGGAGGATTGTGGGAAAGAAGCCACAGTGTGGTCAGCGTGGCAGAGGCAGGTTCTGGGAAGGGGATGGAGGGAGCCCAGGGCTGGCGGAACAGAGCAGGAGAGGCTGAATCCGAGCTGGCCACCCCGGTCCCACTCAAGGGAAAGCTGGCGCGAGTCATCAAGGCCAGAGGTTAGAGTCGGGGGCTGTCCTTCAGAGCCAAGTCTTGCCGTCAGTGCTCCCAGGGAACCTTTGAAAGCTGTAAGAGTCACACCTCCAGTCGTAGAGGCACAGTCCTCTGTGTCCCGTTCTGACAAGTTTCATTTGACACGTTGCTTCAAGACCACGTCACTACCTTTGTAAAAACCTTCAACAGTTCCCCATTGCCTCTCCCCAGAGTAGTCACCCCTTAGCCTAGCACCACCAGAAGCCCTGTGATGTGGCCCCGCTGCCCTCACTCCTGCCCTCCTACCCAAGCTCTCCTCCTTGTGCCCTGGACATGCCCATGCCTTCATTCCTCCATCTTCCCGTAAGCGCTCTGCCAGCCACTTTCAGACCCTTCGGGCCTGGAGGGTAATTCCAACCGAAGAAGAAGCCTTTTTGGCTCTGCCTAGCTGTAAACACTCTCCCCATCTTTTGTATTCTCCCGAAAGTGTGTATCAATTTACTACAGCTGTTTAAATACAGCTATCTCTCCGCCAAGGCTACACTGTATTTATGTACTCAGCAAATATTTGTCGGACGAAGAGAAGAATGGTTGTGCAAATATTTAAGAGAAAAGCAAAGTACAATGCATCATAATCATAGAACCCACGTCAATACCCCAAGAAAGGGGGAGGCATGGTTCTCCTCTCCGCTTGAATACTTATTATTGCAAATATGTGCTCTTGAAGTTCAGCTATCTGTTTTGGGAAAAAATCAGACTCTTGCTGATTAATTC